TGATTTTGTTTTAAAATTTTAAATCTCAGAGAATGAATATTTTTATCTTAATACTGCAAATTATTGTCAAAGCTACTTTAAATCATGAATCAAATGTGGATTTCTGCATACGGCGTTCACATGTTCAACTGTCATAAGTCCAGGTTTGCGTAAGTCCAGTATTTGCAGCTTTACCTTGAAATCTGTTATTCCAGTCAGTTCTCTTCATGAAGCAGGCAGATCATCCTTTGTATTTCTTTAATTTGTCATAATTCATGTTCCTAAGCATTTTGAAAATCTTTGCTTTAGAGGCATATACATTTACTGCAGCCGATTTTATTGTCACCAGCTTTTTTCTTTCCCTTTTTTTGGGGTGGGAGTGGGATTAGCAGTTTTATTAAGATACAGTTCATATACCATACAGTTCACCCATTTAAAGTAAATAATGCGTTGGTTTTTAGTAGATTCACAGAATTGTGCAGCCGTAACACAATCAATATTAGGACATTGTCATCACCCCCAAAGAACCCTGTACCCTTTAGCTGGTACCCTCCCAATTCCCCATCCTCCCCAGCCCTAGACAACTTTAACTACTAGTCACTTTGCGTCTCTATAGATTTGCCTTTTCTGGATATTTCACATAAATAGAATCATGTAATGTGTAGACTTTTATGTCTGGATTCTTTCACTTAGCATAATGTTTTCAAGGTTCTTCCATGTTGTAGCATGAATCAGTACTCATACCTTTCTACATTTAGGTCTTTGATCCATTTTGAGTTAATTTTTATACATAGTATAAGGTAGGTGGAATCACAAGCTTTTTAATCTCGAAAATCAAACCAAAGATAAAAATATTTGGAAATACTATTTTTTAAAAAAAAGTGGCAGGGTATAGATGAAATATGACTGCCCAATACTAATAATTGTTAAAGATTATTAAAGCTGGGTGTTGAGTACATAGGATTCATTATGCTATTTTCTCTACCTTTTTTTGTCTGAAAATATCCATAATAAAATATGTTTTTAAATCCATTACTTTTTTACCACTATTAATTGCATTGCCCTGTCATCTATATAGGGATGCCTAGACAGCACAAACAGTTTGCGCTTGCCTGTTAACCCAAAGATTGACAGTTTCAACTCATCCAGTGGTGCTGTGGAAGAAAGGCCTGGTGAACTGCTTCTGTAAAAATTACAGTCAAGAAAATGGCATGGAGCAGTTCTGCTTGGCTTGGTAACACATGGGGTCACTGTGAGTTGGAATTGACTCTATGACAACTGGTTTTATTTATTTATTTTTTTAATCATCTATATACTAAGCAAGGAGCCCTGGTGGTACAGTGGTTAAACACTTGGCTCCTAACCAAAAGGTCGGTGGTTTGAACCTACCAGCGGCTCCATGGGAGAAAGATGGGGCAGTCCGCTTCTGTAAAGATTTACAGCCTTGGAAACCCTATGGGGCAGTTCTATCCTGTCCTGTAGGGTTGCTATGGATCTGTATCGACTCAGTAGCGACAGGTATATACTTTAGCATGGCTTGGCATTGGACTGTTACAGTTATTAGACAGCCATAAGTACAAATTTGGTTGTCACTATGCAAATACTCTTTATAATAAGCAAAACTATAAAATCAAGATAAATAAGGCTAAATTAAAAGTCCAAAATCTCTAAATTCTTGATTTACCCAAAACTTTTATTCTGTTAGAGTTTTATGAACAATATATGCAAATATTTTTATATACAAATTTGTGAAAAGTTTACTGATTTCTCCAATGCATTTCTCAAACTTGTGTTGAGGAGCAGCAGTTTGTAGAATGCTGAGGGGGTAAAAGACCTCTTCTGCCTCAAGTAAGTTTGCTTATTTAAAAGTTGAACAAAGTTAAATAATTTGCTTATAGCAAGACTTCTCAGGACCTTTTAATATGAAAACACATACCATAAATCTTTAAGATTTGGCAAGCAATATTATTAAGTTTATTTGACCACTAATGAACCATGGAATAGTTTGGAAAACACTGGACTATGTATGTGCAGTCACATTATGTCATATATAGACAATGAAGTAACTTCAGTTGTTGTTGTTGTTGAGTGCCTTGGAATCGGTTCTGACTCATAGTGACCCGACATAGAACGAAACACTGCCCAGTCCTGTGCTGTCCTCACAGTCGTTGCTATGTTTGAGCCCATTGTTGCAGCCACTGTGTCAGTTCATCTCGTTAAGGGTCTTCCTCTTTTTCGCTGACCCTCTACTTTACCAAGCATGATATCCTTCTCCAGGGACTGGTCCCTCCTGACAGCCTGTCCAGGTACATGAGAGGAAGTTTTACCATCCTTGCTTCTAAGGAGCATTCTTGGCTGTACTTCTTCCAAGGCATATTTGTTTGTTCTTCTGGCAGTCCGTGGTATTTTCAGTATTCTTCACCAACACCATAATTCAGTTACCATTTGATAATTATTACCCTGATGGTTGTCATTTGCTTATATACAGTGAAACCTGTGACAGCTGGAACTTGATGAGACTGCCTCATTTTTCCAGGTCTCACAAGTTTTTTTTCCCCTTTGATGGGGTGCAGTCTTACTACTTTTCTGTCACTGTCTGTTAGTGGACAATAGTTGAGTTTTTCTTCTCTGATGGGATTCTGCCTTACACAGTTCCAGCTTTTGCAGGCTTTAATGTATCTGCTTTTTATGTCTGTCCTTTTCTATTACTCTTATTTTTTATTTTTCTCTTATATATTTATTTGCCTAACTACTAAAAGTGACCAGATTTTGAAATTATTATGTTGTTTCTCTGTAGGTATGATTTTGTAAGACTGATGGAAATATTTTTAGTTAACTATGCAGTTTGAATTCACCAGCCGCTTCTTGGAAATCATATAGGGCAGTTCTACTCTGTCTTACAGGGTCACTATGAGTCGGAATCAACTCGACGGCTGTGGGTTTGGTTTTCGGATGCTTTTGAAATGGAGCCCTGGTGGCACAGTGGTTAAGACCTCAGCTGCTAATCAGAAGGTCGGCAGTTTGAATCCACCAGCTGCTCCTTGGAAACTCTACGGGGCAGTTCTACTCTGTCCTGTAGGGTGGCTGTGAGTCATGATTGATGTGACAGCAATGCGTTTGGGGTTTTTTTTTGGTATGCCTTTCAAATGTAATAAGTTATGCCTTTATATTTGTACTTGTTATGTTAAACTAATAACTTTTGCAGGATTTTTAAAGGAGTACAATGTTTAAAGAATTATGACTATTAGGTACATTTTTATACCTTTCTAATTAGATCCTTCGTTCCAAAAAATTTGGAAAATATAGCTGGAGAAAACTAGCAAACTTTAAAATCATTCAAAATTGTGCCACTAAGAGATAATCATTAACCTATATTTTGGTAAAAATAATACTTATGCATAGGGAAAAAAAAAAAAACCAACCCTCAAATTTTAGGGAGGCTTTCGTTTTATACATTTCAATATTTACTTCCTAGCCAACCCCCACCTCCTACAGGTCATTAGGGCTTTTCTCCTCAGGTAACCACAAATAGTAGTTTCTTAGGTGTCCCTTGTCATTTGTTTCCTGGATATCCTTTGTTGTTTATGTTTACGGCAACATAAAATTTATATCCTATTTTACGCTTTTATTTTTTTTCAGTTGAACATATTTCACGATGAATATATGAAGATAACATAATATTCTACTGCATGTACTGTTAATATTTTGTTATATTTCCTTGTATCTACCTAAATAATACAAGATCATGAAGGACAGGATGAGCCTTGCTAGCATACCTCAAAGTTCCAAACTGGCACTTTTTCATATTTAGGATGTAATTTTATTGGTGATTTAAATCCAGGCTTAAAATCCAGCCAGGTACTGTGACAAAATTTTTTTTTTGATTTATGAACTTACATTAAGTCCTGTTACAGTATGAAAATTAAGTCATGTATTGTAATACACTTAAAATCTTCATTGCAAATAATTACCATGTTTTTCTACAAATAACACACCCACACATATCATGGGTATAGCATGCCTAGGAAAATTTAATGCATGAGGGGGTTGTGCAGTTGGCACGCATTATTTGCATAAAAACATGGTAGACAAGATCCATATTCTGAAACTTTTTTTTTAAGTTCCATCCCAGACCATGGGTCTGGAAGTAAGAAATCAAGCCAAATGGAGTAAGCTGTTTTTAATATATATGGACTGTGAAAATTTATTCTGTTCTTTAGGTAATGTGTATATAGGAATGTTAATATTTTCTTGGACTACACTTTTCATTTTTAGTGAAACTTTGATTAATCAGGATTAAGGGAGGTTGAGGTATTATGGTTTATTGAATGTTTGTTTATCTGAGGAATAATCAGTACAACTTTGTATTGGCCTATTCCTTCTTGTTGAAAACCTTTCTGGTCTATCTTAATGCCTTTTCTTGCTTTAGTAAATAGGTATTTGTATGTCTGTTTCTTCTACTAGTCTGTGAGGAAACCATGTCTAAATGATCTATCCCAGTTCCTAGCACAAGGAAGATCTGGCATAAAATTAAGTACACAGTAAATACTTGTTAAACAGTTTTATTGTTGAAAATAATCTAATATTTCTTTGTTTTGGATTTGTCATGCAGTGTTCTGATTTTTTTTTCCTCCCAATAAGTTGAGCTTTTACTGTTACATTGTTTAAAAGTACATGTTTGGAAAAGATATATAAATAAAAACAAAACAGAAATATCAGTACACAATAATTTTGATTGTTGTCTTCACATTGTAAATATAGTTGTTATATAGTGGAACTGGTTTCTAATTAAAAATTTAAGAATTTCATGCTTTATAGTTGCGCTTGTTTTAGGCAGGTATAGGACTTAAGGGAATGAGAATCATCCCTATTTCTATGGCTAAAGTATTTTTCTTCCTTTCCCTCATCTAATATATCTACTTTGGTATTTGAAGTATGCTTAATATTTACATAGGTTATTTCTTATGGTCTGTTCTCTAGAGAGAAGTTAATTCTCCAAAACATTTTTGGTTTATTTATAGATTGGTCAAAGAAAAAGTGATGTATGAAAAAGAAGCAAAACAACAAGAAGAAAAGATTGAAAAAATGAGGGCTGAAGATGGTGAAAATTATGCCATTAAAAAGCAGGTAAAATTATATCTTAAATAATAATTGCTAACATTTACAGAGTACCGTATTAACTAAAGTAGTCTTTACAAGAGCCCTCTGTGGTGGTACTATTATTTACTATTAAAATCTCCATGTAAAGATGAGGAGACTGCAAAACAGGTTAAATAACTTGCCCAAGGCCACACAACTGTTAAGTAGCATAACTGGGATTTGAACACAGGTATTCTGGCTCCAGAGTCTGGTAATTATTGAGCATACTGCCTCCTCGATTTTCAGTATTAAATATAAAAGTGACCTAATCTTATATTAAATATATTATATATTTAAATCCACAAATACTTTCCCCAAACTGATGTGAAGACCACCAAAATAAAATATATGTTATACTTTCTAATGTCTGTTTCTGATTGCCCTCATGACAAATTTCAGTTTCCTTAGCATGGCATAGAAGGTTCTTCCTCATTTTGGCACCTGCTTGCTCTCTAACCTCATCTCTTGCTAGTCCCTACCCAGGCCTCTTAGGTTCTTGCCTTTTAGTCCCCTAAATATGCCATTTCTCTCTACCTGTGAGATTTTGCAGACATCTGTGATACTCTTCTACTCCAATTAATTCCTATTCATCCTTCAAGCCTCCCCCAGACCCTACCCCAACACTGAGTTAGGTGCTCCTTTGTGCTCCCATGACACCCTGCTTATTCCCATTCATCGAATATTTACTGTCATCTAATACTCTTGCTTCATAATTCCTTGAGAAAATAGAGGCCGTTCAGAAGAATTTTCTAATATTCTTGCCACAAAATCTACCAACTCCCCTGCAGCTATACCCATACTACCTTCCCTCCTGTTAGAATGGATTATGTGCCCTAACCCTTGTTAACAAACATCAGTGATCTGGCATCTTTGACAGAATAGCCTCCTTGTTTTCACCATTCTTCCTCAGTTCCTTTGCTGAAACTGACTTCTTTTTAAACTTTAAGGCTTTATAATTTCTCTCTAGGTAATCTCATACTGTCCTATAAGTTTTAATAACATCTTTATGCCCATTCATTTACTCATTCAACAGGTATTTGTTGAACACCTGCTACGTACCAGACACTGCTCTGAGCACTCTTTTATGCATAGCATTAAAAAAAAAAAAAAAGAATACAGCAAGAGTTCCTGCTTCCCGGACACTCATTCTAATGACAGTGACTCCCAAATTTATATCTCTGGGCCTGACCTCTCCAGATCCGTACATTCAGCTATTAACGGACTTGACATCTCTTCTTGGGTGTCCAAAATAAAACTCTTGGTCTTCTTTCCATCCAGCCCACCCCAAAACAACAAAAAGCTGTTCGCTCTCTCATTTTCTCCATCTCAGTAAATCCAGACCACACTAGATAAAAGGAAAATACGATACAGATTGTATCTCAGAACTTATATTTTAAATCTGCTTTATGATCTCACAGTGATTTTTCACATATAAATTATGTTACAAATGGTAATAATGCACATTTAACCCATACTTAGCAAAAGTTATCGCTTAAAATGGATCATTTTGTAGGTAACTGCTTTCTGCAGTGCAAAATGAATGTGATAGAGAACCTTCTTATTTTCTTGAGCTTCTAGGAGATCCTGCCTTCTTCTGTGATGGATATAGCACTTAGTATGTAAACGATGTTTGTATGTCAGTTAGTCATAAATTGGGGGAGGATTTGTAAACAGGTGTGTAGATATGGTTTGTCTCCTGATACATTGACCTTTATGAACTCAGTACTCTTCATAGGATTTACATATGAAATAGAACTTTTTGATGATTAAATGCTTTTATTTATGTATACTTCCATAAATACCTTAATCACTTTTGTAACTCTCTCCCTTTAGTGTCATCTATTGTTTCCCATACATAATGGGAAATATTTTTTAAAATACCCTGGTATTGTAGAGGTTAAGAGCTACGGCTGCTAAAACCAAAAGGTAGGCAGTTCGAATCCACCAGGTGCTCCTTGGAAACTATGGAGCAGTTCTGTTCTGTCCTCTAGGGTTGCTGTGAGTTGGAATCGACTCAATGGCAACAGGTTTTTTTTTTTTTTTTCTTTTTAATGGAAAATGTTATGACATAGTGTATAACTTTATTTCATCCAGGTCCTTCTTGGACCCCATTAGGCTTATTTTCCCAATCATGTAGCTAGTGACTTCATTTAGTTTTTTCTTTGCCCTGTTCTTTTTATCACCAATAATGTATTTTAAAATAGCCCTATAGCTAGGAGTTGGAAGTTATATATAGTGGGGAATAAATGTATTCCTTTCTAAATAAAATTGTACAAATAATGTCAAAGATGATCACAGAACCTATTTTATTTCATTTAATTTTACATAATGATCATCTTTCAGTAAACCTCTGCTTATATATAAGGTTGCCATGAGTCAGAGCTGACTTCACAGCAACTAACAACAACAGCATTGGTAAGGATTAACTCTTGATTGAATCCTGTGTGCTAATTATTTTTTAAAAATATTAGCCACAGTGGCTAATTACATCCATGAATAACTACCTTCTTTGCCATGAGACCAGAAGAACTGGGTGGTACCTGGCTGCCATTACTGAACGCTTTGATCAAAAATTCTATAGAAGAATCCTAATCAAAGGGTGGAGGAGGGAGATGTGGAACAAAATTTCAAATCCTCATGGAATCTAGACTTTCTGGAGCCATAGAGGTTAGATGAACCCCTGAAACTATTGCCCTGAGATAATCTTTAATCCTTAAACCAAAAATAGCCCCTGATGTCTTCCTTAAACCAGAACAATAGTTTAATTAGTAAAGAATGTCTGCCTTGAGCATTGTGCTCTTTTAAAGAACTCTATGGGATCAAACTGACAACAGCAAATTGAAAGGTTAGAGAAGAAACTTAGGGGGCAGTGAGTTCATGTTAACTGTGGAGAAATAATTCAGAAAAGGAGGGTGAAAATGGTTCCACAACTTGAAGAATGTAATCAGTGTCACTGAATTGTACATGTAGAAATTGTTGAATTGGTGTATGTTTTGCTTGTACATTGTCAACAACAAAAATAATAAAATAAATTACTAAAAATAAAAAAAATTAGCCACATAATGGTTCTATCACTGGCTACATATGCAGATGTAAAAGGAGAAAATTTTGTTCAAAAGTCCTTTCCACATTCAGCTATGTTAAAGTTCTCTCTTTTGTCCCAGTGGTCATGGTTTAAGACATGATTTTTTAGATTCATAGTCAGCTTAGTACTTATATTAAAAAATGCCATCCCATGTCTAATTACACAACAGTAGGTTTTTCTGTTTGCTGCTGTTGCAACCTGCAGTGTCTATATAGTTATCATTGCAGTTTTGTTTCAGTGTCCCTTGAGAACTTATCTAGCCCAACCTACATGCTTTTCTCAGTAACCTTTTCTAGTTTAACTATGCTGTCACAGTTCATGTTTTTTATGTATACAGTGGGAGTTGCATTACCAGAACAATGCTCTATTCGTGATTACCTAAGATAATTTGCTATGCCTCCCAGAAAAAAAATCAAGGAAACCAAGTGCTACATTTTGTGGGTCCTCTACACATCTCCCAGAATTTCCTCCTCTTCTGCCACCCTCAGCTGCTTCTCGCTACCTTGGCTCTTCTCTCACCTTGTTCCATTGTGCCCTGGATTTTCTGGCTCTTCTGAACTGACCCTATTTTATAACGCACACTTATCATGCTGTCAGTCCCTACCAGACGTCTTACCTGAAGTTGGTTGCTGAAAATGAGGGAGGAGTCCCTGTCTTGGATTGGGCAGAAGTCTCAAGAGACTAAAAGACCAGTCAGTCAAGGAGTTACTCCGTTGCCGTTTACTTTTTTGTCTATACAGTGTAACACAACATTCAAATATTGCCCAAATCGATTTTAGCTCTCAGTTTATGTTTCTCTTCTTTTGCCACCTCAGTTAGGGACTGACACCGGGTTTTACCGTAAGTGGTGAAGGTATGCTGGTTTGTTTTTTTTTTTAATCCTAAAGTGGAATGATTGGCAGTAGTGACCATCAGACATAACTCTTATCTTGTGACCTTTCTTGTCTCTTGTTTTCCAGCAGTAATGTTAAAAGGCAAACTGATACAGTTTTTAGACAAAGATTTCTCACAAAAAATTTGCTATTACATATAATTGCAATGTTACAATGATGCCAAGCTTTTTTTTTAAGCAAATGCACATGAATTTTTTGTCACTTACTTGAAAATATGAATTAACATTTACAATTTGATTTTCTTTTCTAAAAGTGAAGGGAAGATTTTTTTTTAATTTAATATATGGAAAATATTAGGAGACTTCAGTCTACAAAGAGGAATTTGACCAAGAGTCTCTCTCTTTTTGCAAGAAATACCTAAATTTTTTTATTAATCAGTAAGAAAAATGTTATTTAAAATAACTTTCAGTGGTACAAGAAAATATTATTGTCTCTTGGTACATATACTCAGGTTTATAGTGTTCTATTGGGATACTTGTTTTTTTTTTTCTTATAAATTTACAGGAAGTTGCAAAAAATGTTCAGGGAAGTCTTGTACACCCTTCACACTACCTCCTCTATGTTAGCATTTTATATTTTACTATAGTACAATATCCAAACCATGAAACTGACATTAGTACAGTCTACAGAGCTTATTCAGATTCCATTAGACATGTACTCATTTGTATGTATGGCACGATGGTTAAGCGTTTGGCTGCTAACCAAAAGGTCAACAGTTCAAACCCACCAGCAGCTCCGTCGGAGAAAAGACCTGATGATCTAATCCCCTAAAGATTGCAGCCTAGGAAGCCCTATGGGGCAGTTCTACTGTATCATATAGGGTTGCTATGAGTCAAAATCGACTCAAGGGCACACAACAACAGCATAGTTCTTTGCAGCTCTGCCATGTGTGCAACTTCTGTAACTTCCACCACAATCAAGGTGCAGACCTGTTTTACCATAAGCCTCTCTCATACTACCTCTTTATAGCCACTTCTGTCCCCTCCACCCCCTAGACCTTAACCCTGTTTATAATTAACTATTTCAAGAGTATTGTATAAATAAAATCATACAGTATGTAACCTTTTGAGATTGGCTTTTTATACTTAGCGCTATTCCCCTGAGGTTCATTGAAGTCATTGAGTGTATCAATAGATTGTTCCTTTTTATTGCTGAGTAGTTTAAGTATTCCATGGTGTAGATGTACCACATTTTAACCATTGAAGGACATTTGGATTGTTTCTAGTTTTTAAATATTATGAAAAAAACTGCTGTGAACATTTCTCTATAGGTTTTTGTGTGAACATGTTTTCATTTCTCTGGGATAAATCCCCAAGAATGCAACTGCTGGGTTGTATAAATGCATTTTTAGTTCTAGAAGAACTGCCAAACTCTTTGACAGAGTAGCTGTACCATTTTAAATTCCCACCAGTGATGTACGATGTTTCCATTTCTCCACATCCTCATCAGCATTTGGTGTTATCATCATTTTTAATTTTAGCCATTCTGGTAGATGTGATATCTTATTGTGCATTTAATTGTGTTGCCCTTGAAAGCTTTGTAAGAGCAGTTCTGCTCTGCCCACATGGAGTTGCCATAAGTTGGAATTGACTCACTGGCAACTAACAACAACAACAACAATGGCTGATATTGTCGAACATCTTTTCATGTGCTTATTTGCCAGATATCTGCATATCCTCTTTGGTGAAATGTCTTTTCACTTACCCTCGAGTCTTTTGCTCACTTTCTAATTTAGTGGTTTGTTTTTTTACTTTTGAGTTTTGAGAGTTCTTTATATATTTTAGCTAAATGATCTTTGCCAAATATGTGGTTTACAAATATTTTCTCCCAGTCTGTAATTTGTCTTTCTGTTTTCTTAACAGGCTCTTTAGTAGAGGAGAAGTTTTTAATTTTGAGAAGGCCTAATTTATCGGTGCTTCCTTTTATGCATCTTGCTTTTGGTGTCAAGTCTAAGACGTCTTTGTCTAGTCCTACGTCCCGAAGGTTTTCTATGTTTTTCAAAATTTGATGCTTTTATATTTTACATTTAAGTCTGATCCATTTTGCCTCAAATCAAATGGATCACTTGACACTTGTAGCACATTAACATTTCACCATCATGTAAAGGAAGGACTTGACCATTGTTCCAGTAAGCTCTGAGTTACTCTAGAGCTCAGTCTGGCAAACTAATGCAGTTGCTGTTGGTTCCAGAGGCAACCAATAGCCAATATTAGAGTGTTTATAGATTATTTTGGCTATAGGTATACTTAGCCCAGGTGAATAATCTGAATCATTAAAGCTAGAAACCTTATCCCAATTGAGCAATAGCAGAAGAGCTTGACAATGCCCAGATTATTTGACAGACCTCTTCTTTCTGAAGGAAATAAAGATTTGTCAGATCTTTCCAATTTATATATATTTGACTACAAAAGAAATGGATCCAGTTTTAAGTTCAGCAGTTTATTCTTTGCTGTAACCTAAGTCTTGTTAAGCCTCCCACAACTTCCATTTTACCTAAATAACTACCAAAAGAAATCATAACTTGTCTTAAAAACAATTAAACATCAGTAGGACTGCATCCTGTTGTGTTCCTGTAAGGTTCTTTGTAACTCTCAATCTGTGCCAAGATCCCTGACTCAACCCCGGTCTTATCATAGTCAACATTAGAATAAACTGACAGTTAATTCATATATTTGGAAGAGAAGCACTGTTCATTTGAGTAACTACCTCTCAATGGAAACACCTTGAAATGTAATCCTCACTTAGTTAATTTGAAGTATTTTGGGGGTATCTTTACTGTATAATCACACTTTGTTGTTAGATGCTGTCGAGTCGGTTTCGACTTGTAGAGACCCTATAGGACAGAGTAGAACTGCCCCGTGGGGTTTCCAGGGGGTGGCTAGTGGATTTGAATTGCTGACCTTTTGGTTAGTAGCCGAGTTCTTAACCACTGAGGCCACCAGGGATCCTATCACACCTTGTATATACGTCTTTTAAAATTATTCCTGACAGTTGTAATTCATTGTTACAAGGCAAAGTATAGGGCTTTGATGGAGATGTGATTTATGGATTCCAAATTATGGTCATGATAGTGTGCTTTTGGCTTCCTGCGGCTTGGTCTTCTTGAAGCAATGTCAAATGTTTATTTCATGTTTCTGCTCCTAGACTGGACTGGAGGAGAAGGACCTTCTCTTTTTCATTTTTGTATTCTTGTACCTGGTGCCCTGCAGACGTACAATTAGCTTATTGACTGAACTGGGGCTGGTGTGTGGGAGAGACTGAGCTTTGGCCCTGCTTAAGTCAAGGCTCTGTTTTGATAGACTAATTGAGGATTCTTGCTCTGTAAGAATGGATAGAAGTTATTTTGAAAAGCATTGTGTAAAGTTCATTGCAGTGACAACACTAAGTCTTTCCCCAAAAATCTTTATGAAATACACATTTTGGCTTATTGTGTGTTTGACCTAATTCTTTATATTTATTTCATCTTGTTTAATTTCCATAAGCTATTCTAAAAGTAATTCCATAGAGTAGGAAATATGAATTGCTTACCCAATTTGAAATGTGCCTGTCACTGGTTTTTCCCATGTCTTCAGATTAACCAGATGCACGTAAATAATTTAGCGGCAGTGGTTAAATACTTAGGCATAGTATGATTAGCTGTGAAGTGTTTGAAATTTTCAGCCCGTGCCCTATTAGTAAAATTAGTTATAAGTTCAACACTAGATTTTCACCTGAGGAAATAGAGAAAATCGATGTGGATAGAGAGCACCCTTGTGTATTATATGTATATTTTTGTCTGCAGTGTGAGCTGTGACGAAACTGTTGCAGAAGGGGAGAAGGTAATGGGACTTGTAAAAAGTTTCTGTTATAGTACAGTATGATTACCCTTAGATTACGTATGCCTGTCCTTTTCATTTGGTTTTTTACACTTTTCTTTTTTTATTATTGTAATATACACACAACACGTGTAATATTTTATCAGTTTCTACATGTACACTTCAGTGACATTGATTACATTCTTCAAGCAGTGCAACCGTTTTCACTTTTTCCAAATAATTCCCTTTTCATTTAATTTTATATTAACTAGATAATAAAGCTTAATCTTCATATAAGTTCAGACCAAACATTATTTTTTAGAAATAAATATCTAAATGATCTCTATGTTTTTTCTAAGAAATCGCTAAAGGAAATAAAGCTTCCTACTACCTTACGTAAAAGACCCATTTGAGGTCCAGTATCTGACACTAACTTATTTAGCCTCTTACTAGACTTCCCAGTAATTGATTTGATTTTTTTTTTCTTGTTTTATGGTTTGATATGTTATAGTCAAGCTTTGAATGATAGCTTTTAAGCCCAGAAATATCCTCCAAAATAAATATTCTTGTTTTTAATTCTGTAGTGTCTGTCTTTAGGAAGAATAAGCAAGAAGTTCAGATTCAGAGGGGTGCCAGGTCGATAATTTGGCTCAAACTACATGGGGAGAATAATCTCTTTCCTAAAATGAAGCACAAGGATAAGTAATAACTTTTTATGCATGATAAGCATCAAAAATATGAACCTGCTGGTCTTTGCTTTTCATTTTTCTTTACCTCTGTCTTCAGTGAGAACCTCCTGCAGTGTGCACATGATGTGATCAATAACTCAATAACTTTTTTCATGCAGTAATTATCTCCATGTGATATTATCTGAACACTGTTTTTCTTTATTACTCAAAAGATGCAGGAGATACTTATATAACCAGCTGATCCCATTTTGGATAAAGGGGCTTTGTGACAGCAGGGGAAATAGTTTATTTTAAATAGCCTTTTAAAGTAAATGCTCTATGAAAAGCTTTTCCAGTTAATTCTCACTTAGCATAAGAAGGTGATTTCCAAAAAGGTTTAGTACTTAAACTTGTACTTTTTAGGTTGTATCATATGATAGCCTTTCTAACTTCAGTACACACAATTTAAATTAAAATAATGAACCATTTGACATCAGTATTTTAACCATAGTTTTTTTCTGATTCCTCTAAATCATTTTTAGATATCTACAAATGTGTGAACTAAATACAGTTAAGTTCTGCCATCTCCATGTGTCTCACAAACGATTCTCAATTCCCATTATAGGCAGAGATCTTGCAAGAGTCCCGGATGATGATCCCAGATTGCCAGCGCAGGTTGGAAGCTGCATATACGGATCTTCTGCAGTTATTAGTAAGTAAAGACTTCTTTGTCTTATATTTTAATTTGTTTTTCCATCTAATACAAGGAAGGCCAAATTTTAAAATATTTAATACTGAGAAGAACAGGTTGATGACATTTTTTATTCACTTGCCCTGTGTACCAGTGTATTTTAAAATAATTAATGGAGTTTAAATTGTGTTTTGAGTTATGCCTCCAGTAAAAATACTACTTGCTAGAATGTTTATCCTATTCACTTAAACTTAGTTACGTAAATACCTTTTTTGACACATTAAGAGTGAGTAGACTATTTGAAATTTTAAAAGATCCAAATGTTTCCAGTGAATTTGGGCCCTGCTAAAAAAGGATCTGGAATTCTTTCAAATTCAAACCTAAATCAATTGGGGGAAAGGAGGCTGTAATAAAGACAGTCCCCTCATATTAATTTGGAGCTAGATAAAGTACTGTTATCATATTTGCTGGTGTGAATGGCTGGTGATACAGTAGCAGAATCATTTTATTAAGTTACTCGAAGAATAAGTAAAAGTTCTATTATTTCTTTCTTAATAGAAATAAAAGTTTAGCATCATACATACAAGGCAATTGGCAGTTGCTATTTGCTGATACTCTGATGAGTTCTAACATTTACTTATCTTGTGTTTCTATTTCTTGAGCTAATCTGAATTACTAGCTACATAGCTGTCTTTCTGTTTCATAGGTGTTTCCCTATGTAACAAAAATGATGTCAGGCTTTTTCAGTATGATCATGTGTATTCTTTGAAAGAGAATCAAATTTGTTTTCCCATCAACATTAGAATTAAATCTATAGAAAGAAAGAGAAATTCTCAACATTTTACAGTGACTTTGACATAGAACTCCATATATTTCTATAGAAACCTTTTAAAGGCAGGATAACTCTTCTTGACAGCCAAAAAAGAAGCTGTGGTTTTGAAATGAACTATAGCTAAAGCAGGAAAGAAGTATTATGTTAAAATACTACCTAAGAAAGGAAGCACCATTTTTATTTCCTGACAATTTAATTGCTTTTTTGCTCTCATGCATCAAGTAGCTAAGAAATTGCTTGAAAGAAAATAACTATCTTTGTACATAAGGTGATATATTTGTATGTAAGGTTGTTTTCAACAATATCTCTACCCTCAAAATGCTTATGTTTTACTGATGGAGAACAAAGACGTGTAGGTATAATGTAGAGGTTTAAGAAATTCTTAACCTATACTCTGAATTAAACAAATTCTTCGTCCTTTTGCTTTAAATTTTCATATTGTCTGCACACACCCACACACACTTTATTCCTCTGCTCTGTAACATTTGTATATCTCCGTCTTTTATTGACGTGACATAAACTGCTGGCTGTAGCCTTGTTTAAAAAGCAAACAAAATTTTCTAAACACAATACTTTAGATGATATTATTTCAGTTGTCTGTTACCATTACAATATATTAGTAAAAGTTTCTTCTATATCAGTATCATGGAAAAACTCAATCTTTAAGAAATGAGAAATGAAAGTGTCCTTGTAAGTAGGGTATGTAATACTTTAACGGGCAGACAATTCACCTTTCTAATTCAAAGATTGTACTTCAGTCTAGTGTGACACTAGTAGCCTTCTTTGTATTCGGGAGTAATGGAAGGATTATTTTAGCCTGAATGTTATTATATATGTAACATGTTAATAATCATTTTTTACTTTTAGTCTATTATTAATAACAGTCCCTTTTGTATGATGATATGTTGATACAGTGAGAGTGAAAATAATTAAAAATGTTTTTGATGTTTTTATTTACTTAGTACTGATACTGTTAGTTGACCATGCTATCCAGTCATTATATGAGAATATACTGTGTTTAAGAAAAAAACTAACATGGATGAACGTGGAGGACGTTATAGTGAGTGAAATAAGTCAGTCCAAAAGGACAAATATATTTGTATGAGACCTCTATTGTAAAAAACTCATGAAGAAGTTCACACACAAAAAGTAACAATCTTTGTTGGTTACGAGGGATGGGAGGGGTGGAGGGGAAATACTAAACAGACAATAGATAAGTGGTAACTTTGGTGAAGGGTAAGACAGTACACAATACTGGGGAAGCAAGCACAACTTGTATAAGAAAATGTCATGGAAGCTCCATAGACACATCCAAACTCCCTGAGGGTCTGAATTGCTGGGCAGAGGGCTGTGGGAACCGTGGTTTCGGGGAACATCTATCTCAATTGGCATAACACAGGTTGTAAAGACACTGTTCTACATTCTACCTTGGTGAGTAGCGTCTGGGGTCTTAAAAGCCTGTGAGCTGCCATCTAAGATACTCCACTGGTCTCACACCTTTGGGTCAAGGGAGAATGAAGAGAACAGGATACAAGGAAAAGATTCGTCCAAAGGACTATTGGACCACAGCTATCAAGGCCTCCACCAAACTGAGTCCAGTACAGCTAGATGGTGCCTGGCTACCACCACTGACTGCTCTGACCGGGATCACAACAGAGGGTTCTGGACAGAGCTGGAGTAGGATGTAGAACAAAATCCTAATACACAAAAAAAAGACCAGATTTACTGGCCTGACAGAGACTGGAGAAACCCAGAGAGTATGGCCCCTAGACACCCTTTTAGCTCAGTGGTGAAGTCACTTCCGACGTTCACCATTCAGCCGGGGATTGGACAGCCCCATAAAACAAAATAGGACTAATGAGGCACAGCAGTCCAGGGACAAGGACTAGAAGGCAGGAGGGGACACGAAAGCTGGTGATAGGGAACCCAAGGTTGAGTAAGGATAGGGTTGACATGTAGTGGGGTTCTTAACCATTGTCATAGGGTAGTATGTGTACTAACTGTCTAATGAGAAACTATTTTATTCTGTAAACCATCTAAAGTGAGAATAGCAGCACAACTGGAAGAACGTAATCGGAGTCACTGAATTGTACATGTAGAAATTTTTGAAATCGTGTATCTTTGGCTATGTATATTTTCACCAAAAAAAGAAAGGGTCCTCCAAGGCCAAGAAGGGAGCTTGTTGACATGTCGTGGGGTTGTTAACCAATGTCATAAAACAATATGTGGATGGACTGTTTAATGAGAAAATATTTGTTGTGTAAACCTTCACCTAAAGTACAATAAAAAAAAAAGAAAAGAAAAAAACTAACATGGATGAACCTGGAGGACATTATACTGAGTGAAATAAGTCAATCATAAAAGGACAAATATGAGACAACTATTACAAAAAGTCAAGAAAAGGTTTACACACGGACAGAAATTCCTTGGTGGTTACCAGGGAAGGAAGGGGGAGGGAGGGAAAATTGCTAGCTAGATAGTAGACACGTTAACTTGGTGAAGGGAAAGACAATACACAATATGGGGGAAGTCGGCACAACATGACCTAGGCAAAGGCAGACACTGAGAGGCACATAAAAGACAACAACAGTAAACATCACATAAAATTCTGGAACAACAGTGATAGCAAACAATAATTTACGAGTGGATACGTAGGTAGCTATGTAAGCTGAACAGATGTTGAATGGCTTATGGGAATACACCCACGTGCCTATAGTTTGGCTGTGGATATTTCTACATACATATTAGTATGTGTTGCAGATAATATCCATGTATATAATAGAGCATACAGGGGCACAGTCATGAAAACCTATTAGCCATAACCAAACACCTTGCGGGACAAAGTTACTGGGCTTGAGGGCTAGGGACCATAGTCTCAGGGGATATCTACGTCAGTTGGCATAACATAGTCTATAAAGACAATGTTCTGTATCCTACTTTAATAAATAGCACCGAGAGTCTTCAAAGCTTTCGAGCAGCCATCTAAGATGCACCTATTGGTCTGTCCACGTCCAGAGCAAAGACGAGTGAGAAAAACCAAAGACTAAAGGAAACAGTTGGTCCAAAGGACTAATGAATCACATGAACTACAGCCTCCTCTAGCCTGAGACCATGAAAAATAATAATGAAAGACCAGACTTACTGATCTGATAGAGACTGGTGGAACCCCCCAAGGCTGTGATTCTTAGACACTCTTCAAACTTGGAACTGAACCTACTCCCAGAGACCACCTCTCAGCCAAACAATAGACAGGCCTATAAAGTGAACAGTAACACCAGTGAGGAACGTACTCCTCAGAACATTCAGCTATACGATACCAAAAGAGTAGCAGCATTTGCTTAAAAACAAACTTCAGAAGGCAGGAAAGCCGGATGAATGGAAACGGGATGAATGGAAACGAGAAACCCAGGATGGAAGTTGGGAGAGTGCTGACACATTGAAGAAATTGCAACTAATGTTACAAAAAAATCAGTGTGTAAATTGTTGATGGGAAACTATTTTGCTCTGTATACTTTCACCTACACCACAACAAAATGTTCAAAAAAAAAGAAACAAAAACAAACGTGATATTTCTTCCCTTTCTTGTGAAGAAGAAACAAAACTGTGGGAAACCTGTGGAATTATATTAAAATGAGGTTTAGGATGTTTTTTCTTTTAAATTTTTGAACTGTTTACATTGTGATATGTAATATTTGGGTAAAAAACAAATTACTGAAATTTGAGAGAGATACACTTACTTTTTATTACATTTCATTTCAGGAAAGTGAAAAAGAGTTGGAAGAAGCTGAAGAATATAAAGAAGCACGTTCAGTACTGGATTCAGTGAAGTTAGAAGCCTGAAATTTTTCTGTTTGGGGTTTTTTTGCATTAAATCCTGGGATCCATTCCACAGTTCATTATTTTTGACCACTGCTGTATGTTCAAGTAGAATGAGAATGTGATTCTTTTTATGCAGTTGCATATATTTTCTTTGCCTAATTTAGGGTGTCAAATAAATGCGTTCGTCTAATAAATTGTTTATTTCATACTTTACAGAATATTTTTAGTTAACCTTTTATCATTAAATCATATAGACATTTTTGACAGAGAATTAAAATCTGTTAAGTTCTATTTGAAGTCTAGATATTTTGCTTTATAAGCATCATTTGTGTAAAAACAGCGTGAGGATGGTGTCTGACCTCCTCTAACTTCAGAAGAGGGAAGGAGAATCAAAATCAACAGCCCAACACTGATTCCTATGAAGCGGAAGTCAGACATGCCTCCTCTCTCCGCCATCTTTACCAGCCATCCCTCCACGGCACTCAGCTTCTCTGTTTGCTTCAGTAGTTCATTGCAATGGTCTCACAGAACTGACAGACAATTCTCACAATTTTGGGGTTTATGAGGGAAGTAATGGTTACAGTTCAGGTTCCGGAATGCTCCAGATACAGTTCTTCCATCAGGACAGCCTCTTCTCAGCTGTGCTCGCAAGCACACCTCTCCCTGGCCCTCAGCCTCACCCAAAGGCACTCAGCTTTCTGTAACCATGGGCGGGGAAGTCCACTGTGCTGTCTTCTGCTGGTCTCTCCTGCCATCATTTCTCGCCGTCTCTAGTGTTACAGCTCTCTGTCTTCTTGGTCCAGGAACTTCAGAGCACAGGGACCCAGGGTCCAAAGGACACACTCTCCACTTTCCATTCCTGGATGTTCTTCCTTGGTGGTGGTGGGATCCTCTCTTTCCTGTCTCTGGGATGGCTCATTTCAAGCCCAGCAGGATGCAAAATTGACTAATCCCCTTGGTGGGCAACAATTACCCTATTTGCACGGTCCCACCCAGTCACTTGGGTGGGAGTTAACAAGATCTTGGCTAGAACGGCCACATTAAGTAATTCATTGCACCACAAGCATCATTTGAGTTTAAAATAGGATACTATTTCTTTAAGATAAAAATGCAAATTTTAAACAGTTTATTCTGAATGGGGTACAACTTCCTGATAAGAAGAGAAGATACATCTCTGTGAATAAGGCCTCACAGATTTATCCCTTCACAATGAAAGTAACATTTCCGTTAATATAAACTAATTGGAAATGTTTAAATCTTTTTTCCAGAAAAACAGATTTGTATGAAAACAACAGATATTCAAATGTCATTCTTATGAACAATAAAGAATTGTATTTTAGAGGAGTAATGACTATAGCCAGTGATGTGCTGAGAAATGTTTAACCAGCTCTTTAAAATGGAGGGGAACCTCTGATTTGTAGCTTTTGCTGATTTCTATGGTATAAATACTCCCACCCTGGCCAGTTTCGAGCTACCAATGTGATACCACTGAACACAGAGTTGGAAAGCTATAAGCCAGCTCCAGCTTACCACTGTCTGTAGCCAAGACTTGATTATCTTGATTGACTGGAAAATTTTGAGTATTGTTTGTCACAAAGTATCTTCCCAGTACAGTTGTAAACTTATCACTTAATCATTTTGGGTTTATTTTCAGAAATGTGTGACAACTCATTTAGTTTTCTTCTGTTGCTAGAAAATGTGTATCAGCCTTTTATCACCAGCCTAACATGAGCAGTGATCTAATAGACCAAAATAGTATTAGAAGCATTTAAATTTTAAAACATGCAAGTGAAAAAAAAGAATACTTAAATTTTTGCTGCTATAAACTACTTACAGTAATACTATATGGTTGGTCTGGATCCCTGGTGGCGCAGTGATGAAGTGCTCGCTAGTGGAAAGGTCGGCAGTTCAAACCTACCAGCTGCTCTGTAGGAGAAAGATGTGTCAGTGTGCTTCCATAAAGATTACAGCCTTGGAAACCCTATGAGGCAGTTCTACTGTGTCACTGTGAGTCGGAATCGACACAACGGCAATTGGGAGTTTGTTTGTTTTTATGGTTGGTCTAATTTTGGAAGTTATAAATGATCACTAGAAGCCATAACATGTATTTATTGCATCTGTCAAAAAAAAATTAGAAAAAGGAAAAATAATACTGTTCTTTTCTAACGTTATTTCTAAAGACTATTCTGGTATTACAAAGCACAGAATGTATTTATAAATCCTTCATACATGCAGAAAATTACTTTATCAGAATAACATACATTCAATTCATTTTTAAATTGGAATGTCATCTCAAAATATACTACATGCCATTTTAAAAATATTTGAGGCAGTGAGAAGAAGAGTTGGGGAAATAAAAACTAAGTATAACTACAGTATAAAATTTGATACTAAGGTGTTGAGATTTAGAGATTTGAGTACCAGGAGAATTGAAATTCTTCCAATTATTTTGAGGTTGGTATCAAGCACCAGAACAGCTCAGCTTTTTCTTTTTTGTATATTTAATTTTCCAAATAGGATTTCATTTAAAGAAAGTATTTTACTATTAAAAAAAAAACACTATCTCATTTCAACCTCTGCCTAATACATAAATAAGTATTATATCTGTGGTCATGGCAGGTGGTTTCCTGATCAATTAAACTTGAAGACAACAGAACATCAAAAAATAAATATTGATCCCTCCATAGAAAAGTACTACTGAAGTGGGAGTTTTACAGCCAAGATCCAATTCTTGGATGCTGAAAAATTATTTTCTTCTTAAAAAGCCTGTGAAAGAAGAAATCAACAACAAGGTAAATAAAAAAGAAATATATCTTTAGAGAATTCCTATCCCAACTGTAGATTTTATACTGGATCTCTAGATATCGATGAGAGGTAGCAAGAAGCTTAACATTCCGTGAAGACTTTATTTCTGGGAATTTTTGACATATTCCACTTTCATTTTTCTAGCCATCAAGAAGCACATTAACAGCTGTTGTAATCAAATTCCGCATTAACTTATTTTTACACTTTTATTTAAAACCTTACGTCTGTGCAACAATAGGTAAAAATTCCCAAAAGTAATAATCTTTTTCTCCTTGTACCAAAACCTGACCCCTAAACAACATATGTAGCAGTTGCTCGGTAAACATTTGTAGAGTGAGTGAAGAGCAACAGCATCTCTAACCTCTCGTAGGGGAGAAAGAATGCGACGAAAGATTCCACTATACAGTGAGACCTGTGAGAGCCAGAACTCAACAGGCCTGCCTTGTTTCTGTGAGCCTTAAAAGTTTTCCACTTTTGACAAGATGCAGTCTTACCACTTTTCTGTCATCGTTTTAATGGAGTTTTCCTTCTTTGACAGGCTTCTGCCTTATACAGGTTCTGGCTTACGCAGGTTTTACTCTATTACAAACACTTAATACAGTGCTTTTCAGATTGTTTTGACCACAAACCACAATAAAAAACACATTTTCTGTTGTGACACAGTACATATATACGGGGTATATTTATACACATAAAACAGCATGTATCCTTACTACATGCAGTTCCTTTGATGTTTTCTATTCTAATTCATTTTTTAAATCATGATCATGACTATTAGTTGATTTCACCACCTAATAATGGGCTGTGAAAAATGCTGCCCTAAGTACAAAAGGTTAAGTGATCAGCTTCTAACCAAAAGGTTAGTGGTTTAAATCCACGCAGAGGCAGCTTGGAAGAAGGGTCTGGTGGTCTACTTCTGAAAGATCACAACCATTAAGAACTCTGGTGCACAGTTCTACTCTGAAACACTTGGGGTTACCATGAGTCAGAATCAAGTTGACAGCAACTGTTTTTTTGTGGTTGTTAATACAATAATATAAAATCATTCTATTTATAAAAAAGTCATATATATGCAGCTTCTTAGGTATCAGATAGTTGTCTCAACATGTACAAAATTGTACACATCATGGGTATAAACTGTTATGGTAAAATGTAATCAACATTTGTAATCTGCCCCTAGTGCTTGCACAGACTAATACAATGGCTTCCATAAGGAAGACAAGCAAAGAGAAGACTTAAAAATGACAGATGGAAGTAATAAACCTTTTCAGTATTTTTCAGTACAGCAAAGGGCACATCATTTCTAAGAATGTGCATAGAATAAAGAAATAGAGACATAGTGTATAGAATGAATAAAGCGGCCAAATCCAAGCTGGTTTTCATGCCATTGAGAGCATGACCAAGACCTAGCATCTCCACTGGGACATTCTTGGCTAGTGGAGATATCAGTCCTAGTAAATCAAAGTAACTCCCTCAATGTTCCTGGACAAGGGCTTCTTGGCTGGGCTTTTGGGGTATTTACATTTCTGGATGAATATTAACATCCCAAGATCTAGGTTTTCCTTCCTTTACCCTATTTTGTTAACATGAATACGTTATATAAATAGTTGTTTAAGAAGGAAGGAAACTTGTGGGGAGGAAAAAAACACGACTGCTAAAATAAGCATGTGTTTATTTTATGAGTAACGGAAACTGGTTAAAGCAATATATTGTAATGTTCGCTTAACACTTCTCAACTTTCTGGTCAGCAACAGTCAAAACCTAATATTTAAAAATTATCTCCACGCCTATACCTGTGCACTGAATCACTTGCAAATTGAGCAGTCAAACCTGGTTAATCTAAATCACTTTGCAAACTTCATTACATTACTTGGCTTTTTAAAAATCCTATCAAATTTAATAAGAACATATCCTACAGCTGGTTATCACTTAAATCTTATTATTTGGTCATTTAGATAAACCAAGAACAGATTAATCCATTCTTTGGTGGAGAGTTAGAGCCTTTAAATGTCAGTGTAAACTTGACATGTATGTGAGAGCAAGAGCTGTGAGGCATTTGACATTAAAGGGTTAATCAGATAATTTAGTCCTTGAAGCTCTTTTGAGTGGTTTAGCTGGGAAGAAATTGAATGTTTAGAAATGGTGTACTATGAAACAAGTTATAAGTATTAGTGTACTTGAAATTTTCAAGAGTGCTTCATAAACTACATTGCACTCCACTACTCATCTTATTGCTCTTAAAATCTAAGAGGTATTTGTTCACATACTGGATAGTTGCACGGAAAAGTATAATCAATTTAAATTACAGTAGACCTGCACCTTTCTTATATTTTGTGCTTGCTCTTGGCTGCTGGATAGTTAAGTTCCCTCCAAAGTCTTAAGGGAAGATATTTTCAATATATCACAAGAGGTTAATATTTTTAATGTACAAAGAGCTCTTCCAGATTAATAAGAAAAAATAACATGCCATTATAAAATAGACAAAGGGTAGAGATAGGCAGTTCACAAAGGAAGAATGCAAATGGATAGCTTCTTTTAAAATGTTCAACTTCAGTAGTAATCAATGAAATTTAAATTTAAAATGAAGCAAAATTTTTAAAGACGAATGCCTGTTGGCTAGGTGTGATAAAGTACTGGCCAATGAGATAAGAAGATGAAGTCAGCAATAAATATTGGAAAAGAGGTATTACTTTCATTATATGCAGATGATAAGATATGTACCAGGAAACAAAGAATAGTCTGTGAAATAATTAGTAGCAATCAGGAAATTAAAGTGGATAATTACAAAATAAATATATAGAACACAAAAGCTTTACTATATGCCAAAAAAATAACCAAACAGAAGAAAAGATCCCTTCTGAGGGTTATTGAAGAAGACAGTTTAAAAAATGGATTATACTTGATAAGGAGAGTGAATATTGTCAAAATGTGGTTTCTGCCTTTGTCAGTGAAATTAAGTACAGCAAGGCTTCGGGGGAGGGAGATAATTTGAGGAAATAACTGTAAAATCTTTTTTTTTTTTTAAAAGAAAAACAGGCAAGAATAGCTGGGGGAGGGGTGATAAAGGATAGTGATGAGGGGGAACTAGCTCTGCTTACTATTAAAACTTTATCAAGTGACAATAATTAAATTATGATAAAAGAATACAGGATCAAAGAGATTAGAGTCCGGAAGCAAACCCAAATATATATATGGGAATTTAGTGTATGATAAAGGATGTTTTAGATTCCTGGGAGGGAGATAGATTATTCAATAAATCATTCGGATGACTGGCTAACCATCTGGGAAAAAAATAAAGCTGGATCTGTATTTCACTTCTCACAGCAAAAGAAATTTCAAATGAGTCAAAGATTTAAAAATAAAAAGGAAAGAAAGCTAGAAAAAAATTGGTAAAACTAAAAGATTAATGAAGACTTTTTAATTGATATTATTGAGTGAAGGTATACGGAAATAGGAAATCTAATGCACTTTTGGTGGGAATATTTTATAGATGGCAATTCTCCACCAGTTGATATAAATTTAATGCAACAACTACCAAAGCTATAGAAATACAGAAAAACAAGTGGTGAGACTATTCAGGAGTATCTTGAAAACAGACTTGGTGAGGAGAAGAGAGAATGAATGTAGGAGGCATTGCAATTAGATATTGAAACTTAAAACTACTGCATTTAAAACAGTGAATCTGGCATAAGATTTAAACTGTCAGAATAGACTAGAAAACCCAAACCAGACCCAAGTACATATCAATACATAAATGTCTGATAAAGATGGCATCGCAAGTCAATGGCAAAAGGGTGGATAATTCAATAAATGGAACTGGGAAAATTGTTTACCTATTGAGAAACAGAAAAATAAATTTCTATCTCACCCCACACAACAAAATAAAGCTTAATGATTTAAAGAATTAAAATTCATGCAACAAGTATTCATTGAGTCTCTTTTCTGGTACTGGGATGCAATGGAGAGCAAGACAGATCTTTGCTCTTGAGAAGAATACAACTCATAGGAGTTAACAGACAATAAACATGAAAATATCAGTAATATGTTCTGTGCATAGAATTAAAACAAGATAGTGTGATAGAGAGCAACTGAATGATCAGAGAAGACCTTTTTGAAGAGGTGACATTTAAGCTGAGCTCTGAATCAGAAACTTAACAAATGGGAGTGCATTCCAAGCAAAGAGAATAGCTAGTGTCAGGCCTATGATAAGAAGCAACTAGAGCAGTTCCAAGAAAAGAGACTAGTAGAACTAGTGCTGAGTGAGTGATGGGGAAAGTAGTAGACAAATTTGTAGGGCTTTGTAAGCCAAGGAAAGAAATTTAGGTTTTATTTTAATGTGCCGCCACAAAGATTTTAAGCAGGAGAATGACATGATTCAATTAGGGTTGTTTAAACATCATTCTTGTTGCTCTGAGGAGACTGAGTCATAGGAGGGAAAGGTAAAAGAGATACGCTACTATAATAGGGCAGAGTTAAATGTAAAAAATAAAATCATTTTAAGGATACTTTAGTTAATATTTCATTGATCTTGGAGTAGAAAATGAATTTCTAAGCATACAAAGAAGATTAATAGATTTTGCTAAACAAAAGTTATAAATGTCTATTTTTCAAAATAAAACTAAATTACGTGCAAACATCAAACTAGGAAGTATATTTTCTATATATACAGGTGTAATGATTAATTGTGTCAACGTGGCTTGTCTACGATGCCCACTTGTTTGGTAAAACACTAGTTGCTATTATAAAGTAATTACTTGTGATTAAATCAATTGCCTCAAGTAAATTGGATTACCTTCCATAATGTATGTAGACCTCAATCATCCATTAAAGTCCTTAAGAGCAAATAGGGAGTTTCCCTTGGGTGTGTTCTGCCTCCAGACCGTAGACAAATGTTTTACCAGAACACTCTTACTCTTCGCTCTTCTTGTCACCTGATCTATGGATTTTGGAACAGAAGCCTGCAGGAGTCTCCAGCCTATTGCTTGACCTAGAGATTTTGGACTTCTCAGCCTCCACAGTTGTGAGAGCCAGCAAGTCTCCAGCCTGTCACCTGACCTACAGGTTTTGCACTTGCCAGCCCCCCAATCTTGAAGCAAATTCTTTCTCTCCAAAATGCCTAAAAATAAAACCTGCTGATAAAGCAAAGACAGAAAAAAAGAAAAGAAAAGAAAACCACCAGAAGATGAATACTTTTAATATAGTATCAAGTTTTTATGGCCCAACCTGGCTCAAGAAGGCAGCTACCACAGCTTCTGCTTCCACCACTGGCAATCAGCTCTGACCAAATAATTCTCCCAGGGAGTGGGGACCTACCCTGA